ATCACTGATGGATAATCTGTTACGTTTAATAATTTATTTAAAATGGTAATTAATATCGCCACCAAATTTTATTCTTAGACCCTCCTGACGTACATATCAGCTACACCAACGCCACATACACATCATTCCGTAGGACATTGACATGTACCCCAGATGGAAACCCGGCCATATACCAGTTTGGACAGTGGCAACACACGGCGGAGGATGGTACAGTGATACGTCAGTTAACTGGAAAATCCAGTTCTAAAGAATCTATCCTAACCCTACCTGACCCTGGGACTACACATCGGTATGAAGACACGGGCTACTACATATGTTCAGCCTCAAATAACATTCCAGTCCCGGAATCATATACGTCCGAATCAGTCTTCTTTGTGGTAGAAGGTACATGTACATCAAGCAATTTAGTTTTCTCCAAACATGTCATGCTCAGTGTTGTATTAAATTCTGTACTGTATTCATCGGATTAAAACAATTCTATCTTAATATCATGTTAAGCTGTATTTACATCCGTTCTATGAATTGCAATAGTAAAGATTTCGCTTCACAGAGATTGAGTTGTCGACATACTTATCAAGTGAAGTGAAATTGAAACTCATTGTTATCATTCGTAAGAACCTCTCTGTTTATGTGATGCAGATATAAAAATTGAAACCAAACGAACATTTATCAACTCGAGACATTTCCCCGATTCCGATCAGGAATCATTTAGGTGATTTTCCAGTTGAGCGTATCAAGGACTGCTAAACATTTCATTTAAAAGAAAAGAAAGGAAACATCAATTCAACCTTTTGTCTTTTTTTTACATTTTTGTTTTATGGGTGGTATGGAATTGATTACAAGCTCCATTTTTCTATAAAAAAATCCATTTTGTCAAGTGTTCCAAGATAGGATTTCATTCTAGTGCACGTACAAAATAAGCACATGACGACGTATTAACTGCTGTGGTATTTGTGTCTGATTGATCTGTCGTTGTTATTGGTGATTATTTTACTTTGATATATTGAAGCTCCTCCTGGGATTATTACCAACACTACAGTGGTAGAGGAAAAGATAGGGAACAATGTCACTTTGGAGGTGGAATTTTACAGCAGACCAGGAGTAAGTCCAGATACTGTCACCTGGACCACGGGAGGATCTGATGGATCACTTCCCGCTGGCAGATCATTCACGTCTGTAGATCAGAGGACTCTCATACTGTCATTTCATGGTGTCGATGTACAGGTCAAAGGTTATGTTGCTACACTGATAATCAGGAATATCATGGATGTAGACTACGGTAACTACACGGTGATGATTGAAAATAGTTTTGGAACGAGAAACCACACCTTAGCTCTGATCAAAACAGGTGAATATTAGGAACACTTGTGCATTTGGTAAGGAAACAATTGATGAAAGATGTAAAATATCAAAGCACTCGTTGATAAGCCGATATAAGTAAACAGACTCTACAGTGACAAACATACATTTACATGAATATTTTGACGATGAAAAAAAAAAATAAGACACTTTTTAGGGGAAGTTGTAAGCATATTTTTCTTTATTTTATTTCAGTAGTATGTTTACTTTAAAAGTATGTCTGTGTATAATTCAAAATGCGTTTATGAAATAATAATAGCGGATGCGTTCTCTCAGTCCAATTTTTCGTTCTCTAGCATATTGTCCTAATCAGCTTGCTGTTCGATTGATTAAAATGGACGCCATGTTGATGCGTGACAAGCTATTTGTAATAATGTTATCTATATCATTATTAAATGATAAATCTATCACGTTAAACGTAAAGAAATATATTTAAAATGAATTGAATATGAAAACGATTTCGGGTAACAGGGCTCAGGTAACAGATTCTGTTTATCTGTAAAAAAGCAAACTCAGTGCTCATCGAACATTATCCAGAAATTATTGAAATTAAGGCACGTGCTTTTACAGACCGACCGTCACCTCCTCTCTACCTTTTACAAAAAGATGTAACCGGAAGTAGTATCACAGTGCAGTGGATTCCGGGTTCAAATGGAGGAGTGACTCAGTCGTTTGTAATTGACTACAAATCTGACGTCAGCAAAAATTACACTGAATTGAACGCAATTCCAGATAAGCTGGAATCCGTCATGTCATATAAGATAGATGGACTGAAAGAGAACACGGTTTACAGTATCCGAATTCATGCTCAAAACGACATTGGCCAGAGTGATCAGATATTCATCACCGTTTCAACCAGTAGTAAGTTGATACCATTAACATTGAACATTGGAGTGAAAATTACATACGATATCGGATATATAAACATTACCTTTAACGAAATATCCCAAAAAATACACATTTATTGATGATAATCATAAAGAGGTTGAGTACATCGTATTGACAAATTCTTGTTTCCCTGGACTTTTTAGTGGAGGTATTTCTTATATTATACGTACCAGATTTCTGCTCAAATTCTAATGTGATATATGATAGATAAGATTAAAACAATAGATATGTGAGGATACATATTTTGCAGAAAGGACTCTTTCGTATTAATTCACTTGGGCACATTATATATTTTGATATATATTTAAATGTTTGTTCGTTACACTAATTTGAACTCGTTCGCCTTATATTTTAAAGGCACAGCAAAATGTCATGAAGAACTACATTCCACTAGAACTGCGCTGATTTCGGTGTCTGTCTTCTGTAGTGTTGTATTTGTAGCGGCGGTCGTTTTTAGCATTGTAATAAGTGAGTATCACAGTATGCCTAAAGGATAATTGCCTGCTTGATGAACCAACATCTATGAAATGAAGCGCATTTGTATACAGTTATCTCATTCATTGTATGTTCCTCTATAATTTAAAGATGTAACAGAAGACACACAAGTGAATAACACTTTTTAACTAAGGTAAAATCGGATAAAGTATAACCAAAATAAACTACGTACCTATTAATGTTTTACTTCTTTATGTGTGACTATGTTCTGGTTTTGATGTGTATGTTACAGATAGACGATCATCGGCAGGATGGTAAGATAGGAACAATAGATAACAACGAATCGCGGTATTCACATTATAGTATGAAAGTTGAATTTGCACTTTCTTTCTTGAGAATTATTCAGTAGTACACGCAGTACTTCTCTACTTTTTATCACAGACGGAATGGAACCAGTGTTCTGCTACCTTTTACCTTATAGCCAGTACAATGATACCCGTCAAATATTTCAACCAAATGTTGGATAACCCCTAAGACTTGCGATTGCCTAATTGGGATGCTACAAAAGAAACAGATATTGGGTGAAAGAAGTAGGATAATGTAAGACGAGATGATATGCCATAAAATAAACGGGTTTTTCATCTTCATTTCTAATCAATATGATTGACGCAAAAATGATGTAAAATTTCCTACTTCTCATATGCTTTCGTGTGACAATATCTATTATTTTAAATCAAGCACCTCATTTTTGTATAATTGTAGCAAATGAAAAAAACTGAATGTAAAGGACGAAGATACAATGGACTGTGATTGTTTGGAGTAAGCAATACCTTCGACTATATTTGTCTCATCTTTTTCAGTCATCAGAGGAGAGACAACCTTCAACACCACAGTGGACAAGAAATGAAACAGGTCGCCGTGCCCGAGGAAGGTTAGATAACTTTCTTATATATTCTGAGAGAGAACTTCGCTTGAATCAATTTACTTCTGTAGTCATCTTCGTTCATATCTGATTAGAGTTGTTTTCTGACCAATAAGTTCCCTATATAATAAGAGTTGATATTTCTGTTACTTCATCTTATCATTTCAACGTGTATTGTACATACTCTATTATATTGTATCATTGAAGGAGACAATTGAATTCAGTGTTATTGCTCCAATTACCATACAAACATTTCACGGACTGGTATAAATATGTCAATCACGTGTTATCATTCATGGTTTTATCTATTACATTACCTTAAATATTACTATTCTTTCACAGATTCACTTTGTTTTCATTGTGTTATCTCATTGTTTTCTTTTTACTTTTAAGCGATGGTGAAAGATCGTGATCAAGACAGGTATGGGCATATTTGTAAATGCTTTATTATAGTGTTACTTTACTGGATGCGTTTTGCGCAAGTAATTCTGTTGTTCGTTCATTCTTATGTCATTTCATAATATAGAATGCAAAACATTCTGAAATGTCACATAATGATAAGATGTGATGTGTACAACAGAAAAATAAAAAAAATCAAAGGTCAATGCTGCTGTAACTATAAACAGCGATAGACAAATTATGTCAGAACAAAGTACATCAAAGTTATCGAATTTCCGATACAGTTTTACTGGGAATATATATCAATGTACTATTAGTAAATATTCTTTTAGTGACACTGTTAGTAGGTTAAACGTCGAGGCCTGATATTAGAAATATTTGTTATTGCATGATGTACCAGAACAATAAAAATATAACACGAAAGTGAACGTTCACACAGTGGTAATTTCAGTAATCTACACCTTAACTTATTAGCATTTCATCCTCAATGTATTGAATGAAAATTAAGTTGATTTGAATAAAATGCCACAGCAGGAGGATACAATCGGACATTGGTGGTGGTCATTGTGAATGTGTCAGTAAATAAATTATCTTTGCCATATCTAACTATTTAAAGTGATGTTTTGTAAATTACTCGCATCAAATAAAACATAAGTACACTGGATATTGTAATTGTAGCGTAGGTTTTAAACAGTTTGTATACTTCTCTAAAAGTCATGCAAATATATCACGGTACTATAATATACATTCGATATTCATTATTAATCTATTTTACACCCTCCTTAGTCAGTCCCATTACCAGGATCTGAATCCGTGCGAAATTCAGCCAGCTTCTACATACGAGCGCCTTTCCGGAGGTGCGTACTCTAATTGAACATTTAACGAATTAAATCATCCTTGCATTTGTGCATTAGATATTTAATATATCTCAGATTAAATGCAGTAACGTAGATGATATTTTTGGAAGGAATATATTTCAATCACATCGTAATCGTTATTTTATACTCCATTTGCTTTAAAACAATAAGATAAAGTGTACATTTCATTTACATATCACAGTTATGATATTTATAGTAAATATTGTCCAACTATCATTTTTTGTTTTCCTGATTGATAAATGATGCAATTTAAATGACTTCTTTATGATTGTAGATGACATTGATGTCAGTATTGAACAGGAAAGGTAAGATCACTTCACATTAAATCCAGGTAAAACACAATAAATACTTATTTATCATAATGTTTCGTTTTGCTGTCACTTTTAAAGGGATTGTGAATTTTATAAATACCAGTTCCCATATTATTAAAAGTTACGAATTGTATATAATGATTTGTAACCGAATTATAATTATTTGGTATCGTTTATCGGACTTTATCACGCGACATTTCCTAAGACTATTAGACAATGTCGATTGATGTATTGTGTTTTACATGTCGTCAAGAACTTATCTGAAAACACTAATTGACAATTTCTGTTAAAACATGCTTTGTCTCAATGTTATGCTTACAGAAACAACTACGAATCGCTGAAAGAAAATCCATTTAAACAAGAATATGAAGAACTTACAGCTGTCGGTAGGTTGGTTTTAGTGGTCAGATTTGCCAAATTTACTTGTTTTGTTATTTAATTTAGCCATCTCTGTATTTTTCAAAGTTAGATAAATCAGGTTGAGCTAACTACTTCAGAACTAATGAACATCCACATATCATGCAACTTTTATAAATAGAAGGATATTTCCTTTGAATGTAATACGCGTTCAGGTTTGGTCTTAATGGATCACGCCTACTGACAGGAAAGTTTATATATCTAGAGCTGGATTTTGCTAAAAGAGCGTACAAAAGACACACAATAATATATTTTAACACAAATTCAGATTAAGAGATATACTTGATGAGTTAATAGTAAATATTATATACTTTTTTGTTTTAGAAATCTGACGCCGAAATGAAAATGATAAGACCTTTTAAAAATCAACACAAAAAATCAGTCTATTCATTTCATAATATTTCGTTACTATTGTAATTCTTCTGACATTGGTTTCAGAAAGAAAGTCTTTTATCAGGTAGTACATTTTAGGAAAGCCAATTGGAGTTTCTGGCGGGAAAAATATACGAACTTTTGATTTTTTTTTTTTTTTTTTTTGGCAATCTTAATAAAATTCGTCGTATCGGTTAGTACAGTTTTACCAATGTAATCAATTAATACAATGGTAGCGATGAATTAATCCGGATTTTATTGCTTCCTACATTCATAAATACGTCGTTATCCGAAAGTTGTATTTGCATTAAAGTCGAATATTATTTCCATTTCAGGGTCAAAATATGCGAACACCTGACGGAACGTACGCCATCACAACGTATGTAGGTAAAGAGATAAAAAAAAATAGTCATCACCAACTACCGGGACGGTGTGTGGTAATGATTAGAAAATACACAGTATTATACCATATGAAGACTAGTACAAAGTGGAGGTCATGGGAATCTGACTTTATCAGTTAGTTCTGTCGTACCGCTACTTCCTACTTCAACAACAACTGGATGTATTTATCAAGGAATTTCTTTTGTATCTCTCTAGTGGTATGCGCCCTGGAGCGTTTTTCATCGGGTGAGTCAATCAGAAATTGACGGTGATGTCATACTGTGGATAAGGAAATTTTCTTCCTTGTTACAACAGTGAAATTGTTAGAAATCTCAAAAGCTAGATGTTAACATTATCCATGTTTTCAAGCCTGTAATAATACATATGACATTGAGCGAACTTTGGTTTAAAGTCGTTCTGTCCAAAATGGCACGTATCATTAAATTGATCAGCTGATTGTAAATAAAACAATACAGGCAGAAACTAATACGGGCAATTGTCATTGAATAAAGAAGATATGTCGTTCATTTCCTATCATATATATTCATCATACTAGTTTTAATAATTTTGAAAACATTTACTCGCTATGTAGCAATTTTAAATCTCGTTTTTTAAATGTAATATGTAGGGAATGAAGTAGAGATCATTACACCACTTAGAAGAACCTCAAATTCATGTCACAATGCTTCTTCATCCGACGTAAAACCGATCCATAATGCTGTTTTCTTCAGTGTTTTTTTGTGTACTCATCATATAACCACCAAAGTTTGTAAAATCTTTACTTCAGAATAACGTTTATCTTGTCAATAACAGTATGGATAACATTCATTCATCGAAGCGCTATGAGCTGTAGAAACAGCAATTTATATTGCTTATTACCGTGTGTCGATATGAAAATAAATCAACTGATGATTGTTATAGATAAACATATTGAACTATTCCAATAAAGTACATGACCTCTCTTTCTTTATCCGGAAATAATCACATGTGGAAGTCATGGATTAAGATGTCTTTCTACTTTGACAAGACAGCAAAAACAATATGATCATGTGATATTTAACGTGAATGCAATACATTTAATCTTTGTTACAAGAAAAGATAATATCATATAAAAGAATTATTCGTGTGAGTTGGTGTGTCCAGACGAAGGTACAGCCAGGTCTACCATCGGCTGTACAAGTGATGTCCGGTCCGGTAACGTGTCCCCCACTGTCCTGGTGTAGGTAGTGTCCGGTGGGGTGAGAGCGAAAGTATTAGCATTAAAATAGCATTTGGTGCCTGTAAAACAAAACATTTATATTCAGATTACTTAAAAATGTTTTAGTAAACAACGTTGAACTTTCACAAAATTTAATAATACCTGGCTATGTGCATTTTAAGATTTGTATATTAAGAATAAGTTGGACAAACTTTGATTGTCTTAACACGTTTGTTTTGACTGGAAGGATTTGCTTTGTTTAAAAAAGGCTCTCATCATATAAGGATATTTGTATGGTCTCTACTAAAGCTTAAGATCGTTTACTGCAAAGAGGAAATGAATGAAGCAAATATAATTCGAACATTAGAATATGTTCAACCATTTTCATCAAATCATAATACAACATCTACATTGAAAAGCCACGAGAGAGCAATGTAGATTTCAAGAATGACATCTATAGTATTGATAACCTCGCATGTCGTAGTTGTATAACAGCTACAGGTAAAATATTGGACAGCTACAGGTAACATATTGGGCAGCAACAGGTAAAATATTGGACAGCTACAGGTAACATATTGGGCAGCAACAGGTAAAATATTGGACAGCTACAGGTAACATATTGGACAGCTACAAATAACATATTGGTCAACAAAAGGTAAAATATTAAATAGTTACAGGTAGCATACTGGACGGCTTCAGTTAACATGGGAGACAGGTTCAGGTAACAGAATGGATAGCTACAGGTAACATATTGAATAGCTACATGTAACATATTGGACAGCTACAGGTACCATATTAGACAGCTACAGGAACCATATTGGACAGCTACAGGTATCATCTTGGACAGCTACAAATAGCATATTGGACAGCAACGGGTAAAATATTGGACAGTTACAGGTAACATACTTGACAGCTTCAGTTAACATGGCGAACGGCTACAGGTAACATATTGGACAGCTCTACTTAACCTATTGGACAGCTACAGGTTACATACTAGGCAGCAACAGGTAAAATATTCGACAGCTACAGGTAACATATTGGACAGCAGACTGTTTTGTCAATATTCTTCTTTGTGTGCATACACTTGTATACTGATTTATGAATGGTGTTTGCACAGCTACCGCCATATTTATCTTATAAACAAATAGTGATTTTTATCGCACGCTAAAATCGTAACTTAAACAACGTTGGTATTGATTTTCGAGTTACTGTTTGACTCGATAAAGAAAGACGGATTGACACGGACTGTTGGGCTTAACACAGTAGTTAGATTTAATATATGGTTAGGATGTTTGATAATATGTTATGATTTTCAGATCGTGGCCGTGATAAATCCTACATGTAAACGGAATGTGTATCATAATACGACGTATACGTTCAAATCGCTTATAATTCGTATTATAAGAAAAAGCAACACGGCATCTTATTGGAATGCAATTTGGTTGAGGAGGTGCTCAATTATTTCCGCCTTATCCAAACACTCCATACTGTCGTTACTTCATTTTAAACAACATTTTCTTTTTTTACATTATACTACAAATATTAAAGATGTGTTAGAAAATGTTGGAGTTACTCATCTCCCTGAGCCACGATCGTAATCTTGGTTCTGTTTATATTTTTCTCTTTTCTTTTTTTTACTTGGGTTTTGATAATGATTCTCCTCGCATATGGTATTTTCGTGATGGTTTGTAAAATATGAAATGGAATCAAGACTGCAAATAAAAAGACTCAAACCTCCCTTTCAAAAAAGTTTTTTTATTGTTAGATAATATTGGGTATCATTATAAAGACATGACATTTATCGCTGTTTGTATATATATATAGATGTATAATTTTTTTATGATCGTATGAGTAAGTGTTAAAAATATCGGTAAGTATACAAATACCATACAACCACGATTGTAAACAATCTGACGACTAACTCATATATCCTTTCCTCATAATCCAATGTACCAGTTTTTGTCTATCATGGACCAGGAAAGACCTACCAGATAGTGTAATCAGGAAACAGATTGCATAGTTGTGTATGCTATATATGTGTCATAATACAAATTCAAATTGATATTTGAAATATCCACCTATAATATTCAATGAAATGGCCAAATTCTACAAAATCATATAATTTAGGTAATATTTGTTGTTCGCTTGGTCACAATACCCTTACGTACAAATTTCATTGAAAAATCAATCAGAAAGGCGCTTTATGTTCCCATCGTAACCAAACTACAACAGAAAAGTCTGTTAATCATGCACACTCCTTGAGTTTTCAAGCAATGGAACATCCTGCGACCGGATAAAAATGAGAATGACAACATGAAAAAGAAAAGCACATGTTACGCACGACATTAAGGGACGTATACAGCAGCAATAATAACATAAGTATGATGAAATCTGACATTGAATAGTAGCGTTGTCTGTTATCTACTATGGTATGTAAGAGTTTTATTTGATAACTGATATGTATAAAGAAAGATGTTTACAAGATATAACAATTTGTAACGTAACCGGATGGGTATATATCAACAGAGTTAGTGAAAATACATAGCAATTTACAGATATTGTTTTACAATTTATATAACACACTCTATATTTGTCCAGATCAAAACCTACGAAGCATTTAGCTAAGTATCCGGAGACAGTCCCACATACGTCTGTTCTACATAGAGGAACTCCCCTTACCTTCCGTGCCTCGACTAATCATACCCCTACCATATACATAATTACAAGGCGTACTTGAGTAGAACATCGAAGCATTGACAACACCATTGACCTAAGGTCAAACGTCCCTGCTAATCCATTAACTGTCTCAGTCTGTTGGCTATCACCACGGCCCTCTCAATTACTACTGAAATACATAATAAGTCATTTCCCATTACACTGTGTGTTCCCCCCTCATACATTATATATACGTGGTTAGGAAGACACAATAGCGAATTATTACTCTACATTTAAGAGCAATTCAGCACATTCTATTGGAACCTGACAGTTGATGGTAGGAAAAAAAGCCTGTTTAGATGATATTAAAATCAACATCTGTATAAATATTGATGGGTATTCGCCTAAATCCAATATTTCCCTTATATATATTAATGTACATGGGCATCATTTGGTTCATGCCTGGGTATAGAAATGTTTTAATGGAAACAAATAAGGATATCAAGTTCCAATATATCTTTCAACAGCAAACTCATTCTTAGTCATGTGGCAGTAAAAACAATGTTTTTGATGGGAACAAAGAAAACAACACAGTGAAAAATACCATTTTATCGTATTAAGGCTCCGAAACTCTGACAGATATTTGACTCATTTCGTCCTGGTCCATATTTTGCTAAACAAATCACTGAAAAATAGCTAATAATGAAATCTGATTAGGAAAATTTGAGTTATTTGATGGGATTTTAAAACAGTTTATGTCCCTTATCATACAATACAAATACAATAAATACGTTTTATTTAATAAGAATATTCCAAGTTAAAATTATGTTACATTTTATTTTACAATATATGTACTTGCATTTACAGAAAGAAAAAAAAAACACTTTTAGCTTTTAAAATCATACAACAATAAAATATAATAAAAAGGCTAAATTAATCCATCAATCAAATATATTCAGTTAAAATGCACGACTCCGTTGTACGTTGACAATACATCAGACCGTATGGCATGCTAAATGTAATTTTGACCAGTTTGAATAATTAAGAACAGACAGATTACTTAAGAAAGGAAGAACTTTCGTGATACGACTAATGCCTTACATATTGTATTGATTTCGTTACATCCGCTTAACACAATACTCTTCTTTTAGGAGTTGAAGGGAATAAAATAAGATGAATGAATATGTATCTCGCTTTATTACATCAACATATAACTTTTTCATTCACTTACGGCGGAAACTACTGGAATAATCTGAATGAAGTATATTACTCACGGATACAAGTTGCTTGTACCAGCAGTCGAACTAGCGACTCTTAAGTCACCAGTCCAGCGTCCTATATCACACAGCATCATTTCCATTTAGCACAATCCAAAGGTAAGGGTAACTATCGTAGCACAAGTTTGAATATGTAACTTTCTGAAGCAGATAATATCATCAATTCCAAACACCATCTTTTAAAAGAATATTTCAATCGTTATGGTATAATTGATCTGCATTATTATTGTGACTAATCCTGTTGATTTAGTGTTTTATCGTCTTTGTTACTGGAAATGTCGCTGACGTCGCAAAAGAATTT